CTTTGAGGGCGGGTGGGGCGGCAGGCAGTTCAGGGGACAGATTGGAAAGTTCCTCACCATAACATCGCAGGAGACCTTTCCAGAGAGCCTACCACCAAATCTGGCCCAGAGGGAGCAGGGAAGGAGGGGTGGCGATCAATAAAGTATGGGCCCAAGTCCAGGGGAACAACAGAGCAGTGTAGTAAAAGTTTCTGCCACTGGGCACTGGGGCAGAGGGGCAGTGACTTCCTGTGCCCTCGGTGTTTGGAGAGGGCCAGGCAAACCGGTCACAGCAAGAATGGCGGCCCAAGCAGGAGGGGAATGTGTGACCCAGGGAGGCAGCCAGGCTGGTCTTGAACTCGCAGTGATTCTCCTGCCTCAGCCTCCTGAGTGCTGGGATCACAGGCGTGTACTGCCACGCCACTCTGGCTAAAAGAAGTTTTAGAAAAGTCAGCAGGAAGCAGCCGAGATGGCCAGGAGGTCACTGGACAGGACAGCAATCGCAGGTATGGTAAGGAATACAAGGCTCCCTTCAGACTGACGGGCAAGCTTTACTATTATTTCAGAATTAGTTTTAAGTTTGGTTTTCTGCAGTGCTGGGGACAGAACCCAGGGCCTCATGCACGCTCTGGGTAAGTGCTCTACCAGTGGCTACACCCTGGACCCTACAATTCTTTAATGTAGACACAGTTACAAGCCTCATGTGGCAGGCAAGGTCCCTGAAGGGCACAAGAGGAGCAGCAGGGGGCTTTCAGGGCTCTCCCTTGAATTTATGGTCAAAGCATCACAGCTTACACTGCCTGGTTCATGGACACAATGGACGCTCTTATCCATTTTGAGCCGAATTAACCCTTACAAAATGGTCAACGAGCTTAAAAAGACTGCTGTAGAGAAACTGCAGACTAAAACTCTCCTAGCCAAATGTGATGGGGCACACATTCCAGAACTCGGGAGGCTGAGTCAGGAGGATCGCGGTGAGTCTGAGGTCACTCTGGGCTACATAGTGAGACCCTGTCTCAAAAAAGAAAAAAGAATCGAACATAGACTTAAGGTGCCTGTTTAAATTTCATGACCGATGAGCTGTAGCACCTCAGTGTGGGGATCCTCATCTCACAGAGGGTTTGGTTTGGGCCAAAGTTCCTCAGTCGTGGGTTTTGGTCCCAGGGAACCACCTGCTTTCCTATTTTATCAACTGTCCACATTGGGAACCCCTGCGCCTGGTGTTTACCTGGGAGAACAAAGGAAGCTTGTATCCTGGAGTGAGGCTCACCTCTCCCTCATCACCTTGGTCCTACTCTTCCTCCTGGAGATGAAGGAAAGATTAGCTGTGCTCCCTGGAGAAAGCGTTAAGTAAACACAAGGCGCTCTGCTCTCCGTTTTTGTTGCTGTGATTGCCAACACTTGACAGCCAGCAGGGGCGTGGCTGCTCCCAGGGGTTTGCAGGAGCCAGCACCTCCGCCCAGCTTCTCACTACCTCCACCTGCCCCTCTCTTAGCGCCCCATGGATCCAAGGACCCTTGGGTGTGCAAGGCCTAGGGGGCATGGAGGCTTCTGTAATCCCAGAGCTTGGGAGGCTGAGGCAGGAAGATCACTCGCTGTAAGTTCAAAGCCAGCCTGAACTACATAACAAGACCCTGTCTCAAAACACAAACAAAAGTTCCTACTTTTTCAAAGCACGTTTGTGTGGTGAAGTTAGCGGGCCAGGGATGATTATCCTTCATACAAGGTGCTTTATAGGCACCATGGAGACACAAAGATGAGACTGTCAGGGCCCTGATGATCCAACAGGCGAGGTCAGCCCCACACTGAACCCCAGCACGAGGTGGGTGCAGGGGCTTGGGAGGGTCAGGCAAAGAGGGACTGGGGTGCCAAAGTGGGACGAGGATGGGGCTCAGTCACGGAGCCGATGACTCTCACCTGAGCCCTGGGGGTCTCACTGTGGGTCAGCCCCTTGGATAGGTGGGAGTGGGAGAGGCAGTTAAACCACTGAAATTTCAAAAATAAAACACGGCCAGTGCATTCATTTGCGGCCCATCGGGATTTTAATCGACCTGCAGGTGGATGCAGGCGAAGGTCCTGCTATCTGGACGCCAGGGCTTGTGGGAAAGCCCGGGGCCTGGGGCGGGCGGGCCACTCCTCGGGGAAAGCCCCAAGCAGCTTCCCATGGAGCTGGGTGCCGGCCGAGCCCCTGGCTGGACTGCCGTTCTTGGGAACCCATAATGGGCTGGGCTGGGAATGGCAGAGTGTGGGATCCTGCAATAAAACGGAGGGAGAGGAGCTCTGGCAGGGGCCTGCGGTGCGCGACAGGGCGGGCCCTGCATTCCTGGACGGTTAAGACTCGCAGCTGATGATTATCATTATTGTTCCTGCTCCGGCTCAGCTCCTCCTGCAGCTTTCATCAGGCGTCGCCAACCGGGGAGGGGAGGGCGGGGCGGGAGTCTCGTCTCCCCTGCGCACCCTGCCCTGGGCACTGCATCTCCTCCCAGAGCTGGGCAGATCCCGGCAGCCTGGAGGGGAGCCAGGGAAGGTGTCGGCTCCAGAAGAGAGAACCGGGCTGGGGCCAGGACTGCAGAGCATGAGGTCAGGCACTCGTTTTCACGTCTCTCTGGAAGGCTCTGTGGTAAGGGTGGCTCTTCCGCCAGCCCCCGAGGGAAGGCGATGCCGCAGACTTCCCAATGCCCAGCTCGCTCCCGTGGGAGGCCAGGTTCAGCGCCCAGACACAGGAAGAGCCTGGATCTCTAGAGATGGGCCAGGCCCGGGGGGGCAGCAGGGTGTGCATTGGGTGCATATTCGCTAACCCCGGGCTTCCAGGAGTGACGCGTCCCTGCTGGCTGACAGATGAAAGGGGAAAGGCGTGGTGAGGGGTGAACCCGATCCGTCCTTCAGCCGCACCTAGAGGGGACCCGAGGGGCTGCCAGGGCAGGCGGGGCAGCACAGGAGAGCAGGCTGAAGGCGGAGCAAGGAGGATGAGAGGCGGCGGATGCGTGAGACAGGCACATCTTCCACGCTCGCAGGCTCTCTGCACAAAGCCATTCTGCTCACGCCTCCCTTCCGTGGACTCAACACCAGAATCCTGGGCCGGTCCCACGATGTCCTCTTCTTCCCTGGCCATGTTCGGCCGGACCTGCCCTGGCCCCTGCCTCTGCCACCAGCTCGCCCACCAGCTCTCCAAGGTCACGGGGCAGCAGGGCTCCCCGGAACTCTTCCTGGTTCCCTGACCACCCAGCCAGCCGGAGTGCTCAGTCCTCATACACGAAAGCCCGCTCTTGAGCTCGCCAGGGTGACCAGGCCTTCCCACTTCCTCCACGGACTGTGACTCTGACCAACCGAGCACACAGCTCTGCCGAGCTGTAAGGCCTCTCTATCCCTGACCCCAGTGGCCTCCAGTGGCTTCCCAGTGCTCATCAGGCACCAGTGGAACTCAGGGGCTGTTTTCCAGGACCTCGCCACACATCCACTATCCAGCATGCAAGCACCTGCAACGTGGCTCTCTACGTCTGAACGAAGCGCAAAGATCTTTTTGGGGAAGTCATTTCCACATGCAGATTCCACTTCCACTGGACCCTTGCTCTGCTCCGGGCACTGTGGCAGGTGCTACACAGCTCTTGCGGTGACTGGGGACGGATGTGCTCCTTGAGAGGGTGGACAGAGACCAAGGCCGGAAGCAGAATGTAATGAGGGGCAGACAGCCTAACCACCAGCTTCACGCGGCAGAGTGAGCCTCACGGAGAGGAGTGGGGGTGCCCCACGAGATGCCCCCCGGCAGGAGCCAGAAGGCACGAATGAGCCTCTCTCCCTTCCCGAATTCAGTATTCTTTGGAAGTGACAACAGGACACAGTGGCTGGATTTTTTTTTTTTTTTTTAAAGACAGGCCCTCACTATGTAGTTCAGGCTGGCCTTGAACTCATGGCGATCCTCCTGCTTCAGCCTCCTGAGTGCTGGGATGACAGGCTTGCACCACCACACCTGGCAAGGGGGAGGATTTAGAGTCTAAAGTTTCCAAGCCCTTTGGATCCTGAGAGTGCGAAGGGCTGCAAAAGGACCTCACAACTTTGCTGGGAGTTAGCAGGCACCGGCTGCTGGCATGGACCCCGGGTGGCCCTCTGGGAAGGTGGGCAGTGGACTCCCCTCTCCCTGCACTGCCCAGATGGTGGAGCTGCTGTTTGTGAGACGCTGACCCCACACGCAGGTGTTGTGACTGGAGTCAGTGTTGAACCAAATCACACTGGCAGAGAAGTCTTCAGCTGTCTCGCAAGATGATGCTGTGAATTCTACTCCCTTGCTTGTCTGCCACCCTCTGGGAAGTGGAGAAAATAAGACAAACTTACAGCAGTCTCTATTCCGAGCATTTCATAGCCATGGGTATAAAATGACTAAAGTCAGGAGCCTTGGATCTAAGAGTCCCATCTTCTCGCGCGTCACCATCACACATGGGCACTGCTGTGTACGGCACAGCAGTGGGGAGAACAGACGAGGGCGGAAACTCGCTGCATCTGAACACAGCCCTGGGGCGCACTGGAGCCCCCTCCTGAGTGCCCTTTTCTCCCCATTGGTGCTTCTGTCACCAAGGCACCAGGCAGAGGTGGGGGACACGTTCCTGGTCATGGAACAGGGATGGGTCCCAACAATGCAGGGGTGGGGTTTGATCCAAAGCCCAGCAGGAAGGTGCTCCTTTTGAGGGGTGTCTGGTAAGAGTGCCAGTGACTGGGGCACCATGGGGAGAGGGGGCCAGAGACACAACACTGTCAAAGGCTGAGCCCCAAGTGTTGGGAGCTCCCTCGATCAAAGAGCCAATGCCAGGCGTGGTGGTGCGCACCTGTCATCCCGGCACTGGGGAGGCTGAGGCAGGCAGGATCATGGTGAGCTGAAGGCCAGTCTGGGCTACACGGTGAGTGCAAGGGCAGCCTGGACTATGGAGCAAGACCCTGTCTCAAAAAACAAACAGAAAAAGAAAAATTACAAAGTAAATCACTCCAAAGGCAAAAGCTTCCTTTCTTTCTTCCTCTCTTCCCTCCTTCTGTCATTTGTTCGTTCGTCCCTTCCTCCTCCTCCTGTCCCTCTCCACCCTCTTCCCTTCACGCTTTCCTGGGGGATCTGTAGAGCGGCAGAGCACGTCCCACAGAAAGAACGCTGCTGAGCTGGGGATGGAGCTCAGTGGCACCGCGCATGTCTCGCAAACGCAAAGTCCTGAGTTCAATCCCTGGTACCACCAGAAAGAAAGAAAGAAAAAGAAAGAAAGGATGCTACTGAGCTGGCTGGAACCCTCACAACCTCTCTGAGTCCCACGAAACTCCATTAAACCGTGCAGCTTAGTAGGATTATAACACATCCTCTGTTCTCCAGCTGTGAAATACACACAAGTCCAGTCTCCCCGCCAGGGTGTTAACGGCCAGAGGGCACAGACCCAAACCCACTTCCCCAAATCCCTCAGAACACCGTGCACGGTCTCTCATCTTCTGTGTCCCCACTTCCTAGTTGGCACCAATGAACCTGCAAACTCTCTGTTTCCCGCTGACATTGTTCCCCAGAGAACTCCCGGGTTTGGGTGTTGATCTCCCGGCAGTTTCTGTGCAAGCAGGGTTCCCTGATTTAAAAAAAAAAAAGACAGCAGTTCAATCTGAATTTCAGGTTAAGCAGCAAACAATAGATTTCAAATATTACTGCATTTGAATCTCTCTTTCCCTGAAAATAAGATGCAGCTGGAAATTAATCAGCCTTGAAACCTAGAGATCAAAATTGCTGGCCCCATCAGCCTCTCCATGCCTTACCTGCCTTACCAAGTAGTCACCAAGCAAGGAAAGTGATGCAAGTGAGGTGAGACGGGCCAGGATTTCTGATCTCTAGTTTTTCCAAGTCTGATTACATTCTGGCTAGGCCTCATATCCGGGGGAAACGCGGTAGTGTTTTGTCACCCAGATTATTTGATTAACCATAATATTCCATTCCTCGATACCATATAATATAATAAACTGGATATTCGAGCCCTGAAAGTTCCACTTCCTTCTCACGGGGACTTTCTTTGCAGTAACAGAGGGAAGAGAAAAAAGGCCAGGGTTCCAGAGGAACGGTGAGGGGACAGGTCAGAAGAGTCGGGACGGGGGCCTGGCACGGTGGTGCTCACCTGCAGTCCCAGGACTCCGGGCGGCTGATGCAGGAGGACAGGATAAGTTCCAGCCCAGCCTGGGCAAACTGGTGACTTAGTGAGATCTTCTCTCAAAAGGGTGCAGGGTTAGGGGATCCGGGGAACGCGGCTGTGTGAAAGGTCCTGGGTCAAAATCCCCAGTATGGGGATCGTGTACCAAGCTCTGCTTCTCATGAAAGATTCGGAAAGGCTCTGCTCCTCCTGCGGATCTCACCTGGCTCTTTATTAATGGCGAGATCATTTTTGCTCCCCATGATCTAAGGACCACCCAGGATACCCACGAAGCTGAACTACACTGAGATTTCTTTCTTTTTCTCCCTCCTTCCTTCCCTCCCTCTTTCCTGTCTCTGTCCCTGTCTCTCTACCCGCCCCATTGAACCTAGGGTCTTCACACTGAGCTACATAATCCTTAGCCATACACACACACTCACACACAAACACACACACCAGGGATCGAACTCAGGCCCTTGCGCTTGCAAGGCAGGTGGGACACCACTGAGCTAAATCCCTGGCCCTGCCCTTTATATATTTTTTTGGTTTTTTGAGACAGGGTCTCACTATGTAGTTGAGATTGACCCGGAACTCACTATGTAGCCCAGGCTGGTCTCAAGAGATCCTCCTGCCTCAGCCTCCTGAGTGCTGGGATTACAGGTGCACCACCATGCCCGGCTTGCCCTTCATATTTTTTGAGACAAGATCCCACTAAATTGCTTAATCTGGGCTCCAACTTGCAATTCTTTCGTCTCAGCCTCCCCAGTAGCTGGGATTATGGATTTGTACCGATGCTCTTGGCTCTAGATTTTTAAAAAGGCGCTCTGCTGAGCATTCAACCTCGGCATTGCACACTTGTCCAGAGTAACGACGTCGACGTGGCCATCTACGGGATGTGCAGTCTGTCTTTGGATAGGGACAGCTGCCAGCTGCCACGTGTCCCAGAAGTGCCAGCATCTTCCGCATCCTCTGGAAGCCCCATTTGCTCTTTAGGAAAAGGCGGCCCTGAGGGCCAGGGGAATTAATGACTCCGTGTATACAATCATCAGGAACAACTTGCTCCAGATAAGGCCTCATTATCGTTAATTGTTATTATTATTGTTATTAACCCACCTCCTATGAAAAACTGCCACAGCCTTGCTCATGACCTCAGGTCAGGGGTTTAATTAATCCCGCCGTTGAGTACTGAGCCCGCAGGCAGCACGCGGCCGCCCCCACAGCCCCACATCCGGGCTCCACACCTGGCCCCGCCCACACGGCCCCGCCCCTCCGTGGCCCCGCCTCCTGCAGCCCCTAGTTTCCCGGCCCCATAACCTCAAAGGCCTCCTCTGCCCTTTCCTGTCCCGCGGTTACCTGGGCCACCCGGCCCCCGCAGAGCCAAGCCTGAGGGAGATTGGGAAAGCTGAGTGAGCCCCTGAGCCCTGGCCTCCCCTGCCCGCCCAGACCGTCCTTGCTTCCCAGGTCTCCTATGTCTGCCCCTTGTGAACTGCAGGGCCTGTACCCCAGGCGGTGGGGCCGGTCGGGTGGGTTGGCTGGTTTAGGGTTACGGAGTTTGGCACTGACTCCTCAGCCCGGTGCAGCTGCCCTCTTTAATTAATTAATCCTTTTTTTAAAAATCCCAGTTGGACCTCAGTGCATGCCTTTGGGGCATATGTCACATCGATTACAGACAACAATTAAGCGCGCTGCCCGAGAGAATCTGGAAATCTTTTTTTTTCTTTCTTTTTTTAAAGTACGGAGGATTGAACCCAGAGCCTCGTGCATTCTAGGGAAAGCTCTACTTCTGAACTACATCCTTACGCCTTGCAAAAAATATTATTATTAGTAGTAGTATCATGATTACTATTTTGAGACAGGATCTAACTAAATTGCCCAGGCTGGCCTCAAGCTTGCCATCCTCCTGCATCAGCCTCCAGAATAGCTGGACCCTGCTGCATGAACAGACTTCACACAGAATGGGGTCCTCCCACCTTAGATCACGCTGCTGTGAATAGACCCCGAGGCGGACCCTCCAAGGGAGGAACTGAGCTGCCCCAGGTCCCTGAGAGATAGCAGGACTTTTACCCTGCGGGGTCCCTCCCTGGACAGCCCAGGTCCCTAACCTCAGGGTTCCTCTTGGCCTTTAATTAGACATCTCAGGGCTAAGGTATTTTTTGCAGGTGAGGTAGTGTGGCCTCATTTCTGTAGAGTGCGACCAAGGTCCTTCAAACTCAAGTCTCCTCCAGGTCAGAACTTGCTAGGAGGCCCCTCTACCACTGGGATGAGCACTGGACTGAACTGTCATTTCTCTGTGCACTGGTCTGTCCAGCACAGCGGACTAGAGAAATGGTTGAAGATGATTTTTTAATGGCTCTTGACTCCTACCTTTTGATTCCTTACCCTGGCCCTTTCTCAACCAAGTTTCCTAGAACAGTGAAGATGGGAGTTCACTGTCCATTTACAACTATTTTTCCATATACAAAGATAAGTAGACAGAATGGGACAGGCCCAAGAGCTTTCTGCCTGACAGGAATGGAAACAACATTTATAGACCCTGGAAATTTGCCTTTCCTTATCTACGTAATCCACTTACTCATTGGCATGTGCTACTAACTGTAAATCGCTCTGTCCTTTCATGTTTGCCAACGTCCTGGCTGTCCATCTGAGCCCAAACTTTCAGAGGGCAGAGACCATGTCTGTTTGATTTGCTTTGTATGGTGTCCAGCAAAGGGCTACAGTATGGTGTCACCGAGAAGTCCTGGACTTGGACCCTGGAAACCCAGGTTCTATTTCTAGCCTCGGGACTCATTTTTAATGGCTGTTTAAAAAAAAATTGTGAGACCATTTTTTTTTTTTCCGGTCCTTCCTATCTGTGGATTGAGGCAAGGATTACATGAAGTTAATGCAAAGATGAAATAATGTTACATTCCCCCATTCCTTTAAAAAATGTGTAGACATAGATAAACTTCTAAAGAAAATTAGCAGCTGGTGTGGTGGGGAATGCCTGTAATCCCAGCACTCAGGAGGCTGAGGCAGGAGGATCACTGTGAGTTCGAGACCAGCTTGGGCTACACAGTGAGTTCCAGGTCAGTCTCAACTACATAGTGAGACCCTGTCCAAAAAACAAAACAAAACAAAAAAAACAGACATAAGGGGCTGGGGATTGAGCTCAGTGGTGCCACTGCCTGCCTCACAAGTGCAAGGTCCTGAGTTCGATCCTTGATACCAAATAAAGTAAAATGTAAAAATTAAAATTAAAAAAAATTTAAATATAACAACAGACATAGGCACGCACTGTGCAGTGTGGCACACACACAAACCCTGTGACCAAAAAGCCATGGGGGCCCAGCTTTCTAGCTGTCTCTGGACACCATGGACAAAACAAGAAAAAGTGACAAGAAAAAGTGAAAAAAAAAAAAGGAGTCTGGGAAAGCTTTGCCCATTCTGTAAAAGGGACAGTTTCCTTTAATGAGGCTTCAGGATGAGAACTGGATAGTGATTCCTGGAAAGAATGGAAATGCAGTGTAGGAAAGAACACAGGTTTCTAGGGTGGATTCCTAGCTGTCAGATCTGGACGTCGCTAAAAGCCGTAGAATCCACTCCCTCACACACTTTTATATATATATATATATACAAAGCCTAAAAGGTGAAATGATTGAGCAGAGGTCAAAAATGAGAATGTAGGTGGTTGTGGTCAGGAGTCTGGCTCCTGTCTGGAGCTGTAGGATGGGCTAGTGGTAGTTGATGGACATCCAGGGACCCTTAACCATGGCCCCTGTGTAAGTACAGGTGTTTTTTCAGTTTTTGTTTTTTTTCCATACTGTGGGTCAAACCCGGGCCCTTTACACTGAGTTACATCCCCATTCCTTTAAAAACTTTTTTTTTGCGGGGGGTACTGAGGATCGAACTCTGGCCCTTGTGCTTGCAAGGCAGGTGGCGAAACCACTGAGCTAAATCCCCAGCCCAAAAACTTTTTTTTTTTTTGAGACAAAGTCTTTCCACGTTGCTGAGGCTGGGCTCAAACTTGAGATTCTCCTGTCTCTGCCTCCCAGAGCCCTGCACCACTACACTCACAAGCCTGCACCACCACATCTGGCTAGGGGATTAAGAATTATTATCCACCAAGTGTACAGCCCTGAAAACCTAGAAGCAAGGGAGCGCAAGGAGCTTGTATCAGGCACCTAGCTCATCTTACTGGGTGGGAACAGAATCTCTGCCACTGTTTAAATTAAATGTTAAAAAGTCTGGAGGACTCTCAAAGAGTGCAGAAATTTTAAAAACAATTGTTTAAAAGGGGGTGTTCTGCTCATTTCTGCCCGCTGTGTAATGAAAACAGTTAGTGAAAAGCTAGCCAAGGCCAGGAAACCAGGACAACAAGGCCAATCTTCCAATGAGGCCAGATGTGGGTGCTCAGAGTTGCCTGTGATGACTGCCAAACTTCGGTGTCAACAGCCCGATCAAGGGCGGCCTTGGAGGATTTACAGAAGTAGTGACTCGGTGGCAGCCCCTTCCCTGTGGTAGGCGCGTGGAGGGGAAAGAGGAGAAGGGAGTAGAGGAACTGGCATCTCTGAAGGGGACCTTGCTGGCCAGGTGGGGGCCCAGAGCTTTCCCAAGCACCAGCCACCAAGCTCTACAGGGCAAGTTCCAGGGGTCCAGAGAGAGAAAACAGGAAAAGCCAAAGGTCCGGAAGTAGAACTCCGGGACACCAGCTTTCAGTCCACAAGAACAGCTGGCAGGTTTTCAGAGCGGGTTGGCTTCATCGTTGAATGCACCATTCCAACATTCCTTGGCCTTCACTTCCTTGAGTGAGACTAGTACCTGTCCTGTCTACCTCCCAGGACCCACAAAAACAAAGACCCTAAAGCGCTCACTCTCCGAATGCAAAGTCGGGTTATTACCACTGCGGTGCCTGGGAGCCCTGCAGCGTGGGCTGTGAGCGCCGGAGTCACAGCTCTTGGAGGACCACTTTGTTCTGCAGCCATCATGTTCCGCAGCACACTGGTCTTCCAGGTGGACAGACTGGGGATCGAACTCAGGACCTTGCACTTGCAAGGCAGGCGTGGCACCACTGAGCTACAATGCCCCCCCCTGCTAAGTTCTTTCTTATGTTGACTCTGTTTCTTCTTTTACTACTTACGCATCCTTTCTCCTGTTCTGCCTGAACCTTGTCTCTCTGCCCGCTGAAATAGTTTTTAGCGTTCACTCATTGAAAATACTTCTCACTGAAGAACAAAACCCAAAGTTGCCAAAGCTATGATCTCTGGAATCTGGAGGCCAAGGGCAATAAAAGCCAAGCATCTGTTCTTTGAAGGGGCCAAGGACAGAGTCAGCTCTTGGACCCCTTCATAAAGTTTCAATCTTTCTTAACTTTGTCCCAGACACAGGTCATTTTACTCCCTGCAGGATATTTCTTGGGGAGGGAGGTGCCGTTTGGGGGGGAAGTAACTATATTCATAGTAAAAATGTTCATGTGCTGTTGAGTTTAGCTTTAGTCCAAGAATATCCGTTAAATGGGAGCTTTTCAATTTTTTTTTTTTTTTTTGGTACCGGGGATCGAGCTCGGGCCCTTGCATTTGCGAGGCAGGCAGCGGAACCACTAAGCCAAATCCCTAGCTTATGTGTGAGCTTTTCATAATGGGAGGTGTTCCAATTAAGATAAGACTTGGACCTCTTTTGGGAAGGTTGGTTTATGGCGGGAGAGGGTCATTCTGACCTGGGGGTTGTGGCCCTGGGTCCTCCACGACCCAGGCCTTCACCTCACCAAGGCGTTCCGTCTCCCTGACTCCCTAAGCACTTTCAATTATGGACTCTCTCTCTCTTGGCTCTGAACTTGGATAAATGCTACCTTGTTAGCTAATAGTACCATTAATTATATTAATGATTAATAGCTAATTAGTCATAATGCTGCAATACTTAGAATGGAGGGCTCCTTTCTTGCAGCACTGCTGTCTGGGGCGTGCACACACGCCCTTCCCTATTCTGGGCCACAGGACAGCATGACTCTAACTCTGTTTTTCTGACCACCCCGGCACTCTGTAAATTGCTCCCGTTTTATTAGCTGTCCCATTCTTCTGGTGAATGACCGCTACTACTTGCATGTCACCTCTTTCACTTCTGTCCTCTGTCGCTCACGCTGCCCTCCAGTAAAAAGCAGGCCGGCGGTCAAGATTTTTAAACTTTATTCCACAAGCACTTCGACCCATTTTTTAACTTTCGCCCCCCTTTCCCTCTCCCGAGTGCGAACCGT